ACCAGCAAAAATGGGTTCATTTTTTAAAATGGGCTGGATTTTTACTTACTTGATAAATCACAAAAAACAACTCTTAAACAGAATAAATCAATGATGAATAATGGAGCTTATAATATAAGAACAGTAGATATGTATGACACAAATTTCTTCCTTATCACTAAAATCAAGTGCTACAGCTTATAATTTACCCTATTTCTATTTTTACTAGCAGTTTATGTCACAGAAATCTACTAAAGCTAAGTATTGTATCACAGGAGCTTGGAAAAATAATGGCATTTGCTGAAGGCCATACAGCTGGCAAGAATAAATCTAAGAATGCCTCACACCAGACGCCATGTACCCTAGAAGGAGAGCAGGAAGGAAGATGGCTGCTTATATGTAGAGAAATATATGAAGAATTTTTAGTCTCTTGCTAGATGACTTAGTACACATTATGGAGATGTGAAAACCAAACACGGATTTCGGGCAAAAGCTCTATCCAGTAACAAAGCTGGTACACCTGACTAGGGAAATGTCTGCTACCATCATCACTGACCTCTCAAAATAATGCATCAGTCACAAAAGTTTGCCCAGATATTCAGGCAACTTATGAAGAAAAGCCCCAAAGGCCGAAGACTCCATAAACTTGGAACTCCTGAATTAATGGATTGCTTCTGCTCCATGTGAAAGAAGCTGAGTATTACAATAAGGTCATAAGAGGAAAAGGAACACTTCCAAACCCAAGTGCCACGATTTGTCCAGTATCCTGAAGTGCCAGCCTTACTGGTGCTAGCACTAGAAGAGATTCTTAAATGTCAGCATTAGTAGAAGGTAAACAGAATGAGGGGCAAAAAATGCAAACGAGAACTACCCAGTGCTCTAGCAGTACCACTACTGGGTATATGTGGTGAAAACACTCATAGCAGCACTATTCACAAAAGGCTGGCTACGAAATCAACCAAAGTGTCCACCAACCCCAAACGGATAAAGAAAACGTGTTACATATACACAATGAAAAGACACTCATCCATTAAAAAAGAATGAAATCCTGTCATTTTCAGCAACATGCATGGTAAAGAGATTGTTGCATTAAGTGAAATAAACCAGACACAAAGAGACAAGTGTCATATAACCTCACTTATATGTGGAATTCTTTTTAAAAGTTAGTGTTATAGAAAGTAAGAGTAGAATGGATCATCAAAGGCTGGGGAGAGCAAATTGATCAATGTATACTAAGTTACAATTAGAAGCAAGAAGTTCTAGTGCACTATTTTTCAGCAGAGAGATTACAGATAATACTAGAAAGCACATTTTATTTCTCTGACAAATATAAATTTTAATTTTCATGCTAAAAGTTTTACAAATTTGACTTTGTCATACATAATTACAAGAGCGACAGTTACAACTGAATTTAAAGAATAGCACTTAAGGGTACTTCTATTTATTTGCTACTATTATAAGCATGGTTTTTTTTATGTGAACAGCAATATAGTTAAATTACAGATCACTCAACTAGTGAATTTAATAAATGTGCAATGATGGAGGCCACTACATAATACAAGCAAAAAATAAGTGCTGAATATATGTTCACATTCTACATTCCACAATTAGAATTGAGGGTGGGAGTGTAATGGTACAATTATTCAAATATCTACCTAGTCGGTTATGTTAATGAGCAAGCACTCCAAATATTTTTGGACAGGGTCTTACTATGTACTCCAGGATGACCCTGAATGCTATATGTAGCCCAGGCTGGCCTCAAACTCATGATTTTCCTGCCTCAACCTCCCAAGTGCTGGGATTACAGGAATGTGCCACCATTCTTGGCTCGAAATAATCCTCCAGAATCTTTTTTAGTTTGCTAAAAGAAAATATAAGAAAAATACATAGACATGGATTGCTGTTATGGCTACAACCAACTATTAAATGAGAAGTTTATCTTAAACTATTTTATTTTAAGGAAAAAATAGTATTTGAGAAGGTGGGGTAAAAAGACTTAAACATTATTCTTTAAAATTCTTATTTTTATACTATAACAAAATAGATTTGTGATCCACTTGTATTAAAAATTTATCTTCTACATACCAGATCTAATATCAAAGTAAAAATTTTCACTTTGTCAGCTGAAATTTGTGACTAGAATTGCCATTTGTGTGTATTTCTTTGCTTGCTTAGAAAACAAATTCATACTGGATTTTAAAAATTTATCCTTAATTTTGATAAAGTCAAGTGACACAAAGTTACTATAGGTGTAAAGAACATTTTAAAAAGTTAGAGAACCCTGAGCTTGGTGATACATGCCTGTAAGCCCAGCACTTGGAAGACTGAGACAGGAGGATTGCTGCTTGCTGCTAGTTCAAGGCCAGCTTGAGGTATTGAGTGAGGGCAAGGCCAGCCTGAACAATGTAGTGACACGCTATCTCAAAAAACAGACAAAAAACAACAACAACAAGTTAGAGGCAGAGATTTTGAAAGTTTTACCATAAAGAAATGATAAAGGTCTGGCTAGATAGATATATCTAATCTGACTTGAAAACTTATATATATATATATATATATATTTTATATATATATATATGAAACATCACATTACCCTACTCATATGTATAATTCTCATGTTTTATGTACCACTTACAATTAATTTAATTAATAAAAATGAATACACAATAAAAATAAAATTTAAAAATAAATGCTAGTATGGTAACAAATTGTCAAGGGCACCTGGTAAAACGGGTTCTATACCATTTCTCCCAGCCCTGCCAAAATTCTGATTCTGAATCAGGTCAGAAAAGAAATCTTTGGTTTCAACAAGCATTTCAGAGACATACAGTCAGAAATCTTGTAGTGTGGCCAAAATACCATTATCCAGTCCCTCATATCAAGGACTCCTGTCCTAAAAACCTGTGTTCCCACCTCAGGAAGATCCCTGAATAGGGAACGAAATAATAGGGAAGCCAACTGGCATGAAAAATCCATCTGAGTGGATGATAGACATAGACAATGGATATGTGTTTGCCCCTAAATACCATAAACACCACCTTCACCAAGGCCCAGGGGAGGCAGGGGAACTCTTCATTTCTGCATAGGTTTCCCCCGGTTTCATGTTGACACTTTATGCCCTTCCTTCAGGATGTTGCCAGGGATGGCTGTTTCAGCTACAGAAAATATAATACAGTGTCCTTGGGATACGTGGCCTTCCAGCAGAAATAGACTACCAAGCCTTATACGGTCAGGAATGCTGGCATGGAGCCTCTCATTGCCAACACAAAGAATATATCTGATGGTGTCAATGGAGTCAGAAACTATCCTGTCCCTTTGAAGTGAAAGAAAACAGTACCAGGTAAGATTTCCAGAATAATCTAGTTAAAAACTCATCTACAAATTCCAGCCCTGCTATCACAGACTCAGAAGTTCACTATTAGGTTTTCCTGTTCTTGAAAATATTGTTTAGGTTACAGAGGCACCTAATCAGCTGCTAATTGATATAGGCACTGAATTAAATTAATAATGATTCCATTTTTCCTAGTCTCCAGAGCTCTTGTTATTTTTTTAAAAAGTATTAATTGACTCATATGGGACTATGCACAATTATTTGCAAGTGAATCTACAATCATTAATGTTACAATAATATAGCTTCTACTTTCCAAGAAAAATATAGGAAGAAAATAATTTTTACTTATACACACAACACCAAATGGAGTTCAGTTTCAAGATTATTCCTCAACTCTTTACAGTTATCTGTCAAGGATGACATGATTCATGCTATACATTTCTTTTATAAAACCCACCAACCTGATAACTGAATGTCTGAGTGGAGGAGAGAAAGAGAGAAAGAATGAATGTATACATTGATACATTGGCTTTTCATGTTCAAGACCTATTAAGATCCATTTCTGTGCATAATCTTTGGGCAAGTTTTCTCCCCTCTGTAAGCCAAGATTTCCCTACTAACAAGGTAAATATAAAATAAATAGTTGTTATATGTAAATTTTAAAGGGTTTTTTGAAAGTCACATGAGAAATATGCACAGAAGACTGTTATAAAATATAAATTAGTAGCACATAAATTGGCTACCGTTATCAGTGTTTACTGTATATCTTGTGGAAGAGGGAGCAAGGAGAGAATCCAACCACCTAATTTCTCAGACTCCTTCCCATTTTTGAATATTAGTTGCAGTACAATCTGTGGACACAACATATGTATTACAAGAGAATACATATGTTGGTCTGTGCTTTCTAAAAAATGAAGAAGATAAACAAAATATCAAAGGATATACAAAAAGGTCTGAAAGACGGCATAGCATGTGTGAAGCAATTTACAAGACCATATTGAGCTGACGAAAGTAGCCTGCACCATGATAAAAAAAAAAATTAGGCAGAAAGAGTTCTTTGTAGATAGTTTCTCTTGTAGTTGAATAAAATTAGCATTTGGGGATTATCAGTACAAACTCTAGGACTGTGAACCTCGTGTGTACCGTGGCTGCCTATTCAAGCAATTGAAAAATGTTTTCTCTGTCAAGTTACAAAGGTAATTCTGGCAATAAATGTCTGTGCCTTGTAAATGACATTGGACTCCAGTGGTTTACTGTACCAGGCTAGCTCTTTGGGTTTTAAGGCACTGATTGATTTCCTGGATGCCTACCTAAATAAGCTCTTTTGGGAAATCCCAATGAGGACTATAGTCTTTTTCACAGCATCCTAAATTGTGAATGGTCATTCACATTTATGATGCCAAGTAGCTGACTGCTCATCACAAGGATCCTGAGTCTTCCTCATCACTAACCCTTACCAAATGTCAGCTAATCATGAAATATACAATTCTGATTTTAAAAGAGGCCATTAAGTCAGGCACGTCTAACTTTTCAAGGTTTCTATTGATCCACCCCCGTTTGTGATACCAGGTCTCCCCATATGTCTGATACCTCTCGAAGGACTTCAGGACACCTTGATTCTTCCACTGCACTAGGCCCCAGGGTCAAAGGTCAAACCAGCAGATGATTCTATGGCAGTTTGTAGCCTCCACATAGAAGCAGCAAAAACAGGAAGTGATCTCAATTCCATAGGCTACTTCAGCTTCTGCCAGAAACCAATGCCTTAGCCATAACTAAAAGTGCAGAACTAGCTCTACTTCCTGTGAGTAATCAAAACAGGAAATAGACATATGAAATGTGGGTGATGGTCTCATCAAAAATCTCCAATCTCTTATGTCAAAGAGAAATATTCAGACCACCAACCTACTCTTCTCCTCGTGGGCTGTAGTCTCATTGATAATAGGTGTCTTCATGAAAGAATGGGTTGAATTAGTCCCCAAAATAAAAAAGGTCAAGATTAGCCACAGTCCATGGATGACATGCTGCACTACCATTTGGCCAGAAGGTGAGAAGTATAATATGAAAAGTGATGGGTGGAGATGGAGATTTCATGTTTCCTTGCCTTTGATTATCTCACTATTTATCCATTATTCTCTGGAGCAACTTTCACAGGCTGCAGGATGCCCACTTCCATTATCAATATGGTCAAAGTAGACTCCAAAATCTCACAATGTGGATGCCTGGGTGGAAAGATTAGAAGCTCTCAAATTAAGTCTAGTAACTGCTGAACATTTGAGAAATCCTGTCAGTATCATCAGGGTGGACACTGTATGAGGATATCCCTCCATATGAGGGATATGAAAATAGGTAACTGACAAGAAGAAAAATAAGTTATATTTCCATTAGAAGAGGTCAGAATAAATTGAAGTATTTAAGAAGAAGTAAAGTCTAAGAAAAGAACAGAAGGAACCTTATAGAGACACCAAGAGAGCAATCTATTCTTATTCTCTCATGCAATTGAAGGATCTCTGGATCTCTGTTCTTTTCCCCATCCTCTCTTATTATTTCACCAAATTTTTCACCTGATCCCATTTTTACCTAGAGATTTGTGGGCCCCAGGTATGCGATTAGAAGAAATATCTGTCTTCTCAGCACAGCTTTTGCTTTCCAACAGATAGCCTGAAAGTGGTCAGGATCATGATGGTGTTGGTTCTCTGCCTTTCCTTCTTCCTTAACTTGATCCTGGGTATGCAATACACCTATGTGATTCCTCAGAACAGATATATACAGCTCATCATTGCCTTCAGCTGTTTCCTCACAGGTAACTTCCTGGTTGCCCTAATACAGGTGTGAAATGAGGAGGGTTTGGGAGTCCTAGGCTGCAATCTCTGACTATCTGAAATTCCACTTCTCTGATACATCTAGATAAGTATATATGCAGCTTCTGAGTTGGCTATAGAACCAAAGTTAACTGAGTCTTTGGACAAGGTGCACTTAAATAGGGTGGAGACTGGAAGTCTGGTGTATTTTGAATGAAAGCTTACATAAAGGAGTCAAAGCTCCTGAGAATTTTCTCTCTCTCTCTCTTTTTTTTTGGACACCAGGTTGCCTTCTCCTTGGTACCTTAACACTATATCATCACAAGCTAAATCAAGGTCAGGGCTTGTACTTCTCTAGTTTCAAGATCACGTGGGTTCCTTTCACTGCCTACTTAACCGCTGTCTTCTTTATTACCTGCGGTGAGTGTCTGCAGGGCCCTTGAAGAGTGATGAGAACCAGAAGGGAGAGTGAAAAGATGGGAGAGGGAAATGGAGAAAAGCTGCCAAACCTCGCGTTTGAAAAGGTTAAACACTGCCTGGATTCATTCTCTGAGGACAGCTCCTACAAAATCAACTACGAAGTTGGGCCTGGGTGAAGTGTTTGCTATGCCTGCCTCAGCAAGAAAGAGCAGCTCCTAATCTCTGCTTTTTCTTCTGTCTTTCATATGTTCCCACTTTATGGCAGAGATAACCATCAAAATTACCACTGAGGGGAGTGGCTGAGGCAAAATGTTCATTTGTGGGAGAGGGACAGTGACCCTGGGAGCACAGCATAGTGTCAAGGCAGTTTGACGGCAGAGAGAAACAGTATTTGATGCTAAAAGGCTATCTACCCATTGGGAATTGTATTTCCTAATCCATCTAGCAGACTGTTCTCTGTCAAAAAGAATCTGCAATGTCCTTGAATACCTACTTCCCACATTTTCCATGAAACCATTCCCTTCCAGGATGAGTATGTGACAGGAATCCACTGGGTTTTGGGTTTGGCCATAATGGAGAGAAGTATTTCTATGATTCTCCCATCATTCTTTAATCCTGCTCCTTTGCTTCCCCTTTTCTTAGGTTTTCTCTGTCTACTACAGTGCAAGCAACCCATCCATAGTTGTACCTGCCAGAAAATTCACTCATCTACTGAACAGTGTATAGATAAACAGCTCTGTGGGCAGTCTATCCAAGTTATTTCGCTTCCAGAGAGCACTGCAATGCCGCGGGGCATTGTCCGTCTATCCTCCCAGCAATCAAAGGAAGATTCTGCGAACAAAGAACATCTCCAAAAGCGTCATGTGACCTGGGCTCTATGACTGGACAATCTACCTTCCATGTGTGCCCATCTTTATGGACACAGCTTTCTGAGCATGCGCCTTGCTGTGTGCATCTCCAGCCATTTGGTCTGGGTTCGGCATTATGGAAGTGACTGTGAGTGGGTTGGAGATGCAAAGAGATGTAGAAAGAAATGCAGAAAACGGCTTTTTTTAATCCTGGCATGCTAAACAAATATCTTTTTCTACAGTATTTGTTATTGATATGATAAATATATAAATACTACTTGCTGTATTATTAATTCTGTATAGAAAAATATTTATAATGGTACAGTATTTTTTATTTTTTGTGTAATATATATTTTCATTAGCACATGTTTGTGATACCTAATAATTACACTTATCTTGGGGAATATATATATATATATATATATATATATATATATATTTCACATCTTGATCATTTTATTACTCCCACTTTCCATAGCCACTGCCCTCCCTCTCCCACCTTTCCCAGATCTTTGCCGTCTCCACCATCTACCTTCCTATTTCCTACCATTTCTTTTTTATTTTGCTATTTGAATTATTTATATTTTGAGTTTCTTATATTAGAGGAACTATGCAACATTTAACCTTCTGTGTCTGATTTATTTCTCTTAGCATTACGATCTCAAGTTACACTCACTTCCTTACAAATGACTCAGATTTACCCTACTTCATGGCTGTAGCACTCTGTCGTGCAAAAATACCACATTTTCTTTACCCACTAATTTGTTGATGGGCATATAGCAAGCTTCCACAATTTAGCTCTTGTGAATTATGCAGCTATAAACATGGGTGTGGAGGTGTCATTGCAATATGATGATTTTAACTATATCAGGAAGATATGTAGAAATACTACAACTGAGTGAAATAGAATTTCTAATTTTAGTTTTTTGAGGAACCTCCATACTTACTTCCATAATGGTTTTAAAAGTTTATACTCACAACAAGAGTGAAGAATTTCCTATTTCCTATTTCCCCCATATCTCACAAATATTTGGGTATTTTGTTTTTGTGGGGGGTTTTATTGGTTGTTTGATTTGTTTGTTTGTTTGTTTGTTGAGACAGAGACTCACTATAAAGTTCAGGCTGGTCTTGAACTCACTCTGTAGTCAGGCTGGCCTTAAACTCAAGATAATCCTCTCACCTCAGCTTCCCAAGTGTTGTGATTACATGCCTGGCTGTATTTATTGGGTTTTAAGTCCTTGATAAGAGACAGTCTCACTGGAGTCAGGAGAAATTTCTATGTCATTTTGATTTACATTTCTCTATTAACCAAAGATGCTGAACATTTTTTCTTGTACCTATTGGTCTTTTGTACTTCTTTTTTGAGAAGTTTTTATTCATTATAACTGCCCATTTTTGATCAGGTATTGTATATTATTAGAACTCTAATTTGAGTTCTTTATATACCCTAGATATAATTCCTCTGTTAAAGAAGTAACTGGAAATTTTTTACCATTCTTTAGGTTGTCTCCACTCTGTTGATTCTTTCTTTTGCTGTTCAGAAGCTTTTTAATTTGATATGATTCCATTTGCTGATTCTTAGTATTATCTTATGAAGTATTATCTTGTGAAGTCCTTGACTATGCCTGTCTCTTCAAGAGTTTAACCAAATTTTCTTCCAGTAGATTGAGTGTATCTGCTTTTATATCTGTGTCTTTGGTCCTTTTTATCTGATTTTATTAAACTTATCTTGGAAAATATATTTTTTTTTCACATCTTGACCATTTTATTACTCCGCTTTTCCTATCCATTGCCTTTCCCAGATCCCTCCCATCTCCACAGAAGGGAGGTGAGAGGTATGGATCTAGATCTATTTTTCTGCACATGAAAAACCAGCTTTCCCAGCACCATTTGTTAAAAGAGGCTATCTCTTCTCTAGCACTTTTTATTAGAACTTTGTCAAAAAAAACAGGTGATGAAAGATGGTGGGAATTGTTTATATTCCATTGGTCAACATGTCTTGTCGTGTGTGTGTGTGTGTGTGTGTGTGTGTGTGTGTGCGTGTGTGTGTGTCAGAACTGTGCTGTTTTTATTCCCTTAATTTTATAATATAACTTGAAGTCCAGGATTGTAATCTCTTATTTTCCTCTTGTGGCTTGGGATTGCATTGACTATTCTGGGTCTTTTCTTGTTCCATATAAATTTTAGAATTGTTTTTTCTAGTTCTGTGAAAACTGCTGCTACTATTTTTGTTGGTATTGCATTAAATCTATATAACATTTTTTAATAATATGGCATTTTAACAATATTGGTCCTACTCTCACCAAGAATATAAGATGTCTTTCCATTTTCTGGTGTACTCTTTCATCCTTTCTTTTCTTTTTTTTTTTTTTTTTTTGAGCACTATAGTTTTGTTATAGAGCTCTTTCACCTCCTTGGTTAGACTCATTCCTAAATATTTAATTTTTTGATGTTACTGTGACTGATGTTACTTTTACTTATCTACTTATTTCTCTCTGTGTGGGCTGATTGGTAGAGAAGGAGAATGCTACTGATTTTTCTGTGTTGGTATTATATCCTGCTGCTTTGTTGAATTTGTTTATTAGTTCTAGGAGACTTCTGGTGGAGTGTTTTTGTGGTATTCTAAATATTGTATCATCTGCAAATAAAGATGCTTTGACTTCTTCCTTTCTTTTACATACCCCTTTTACTTCTTTCTCTTGCCTGATTGTTCCTACTGAAGTTCCAAATACTATATTGAACAGAAATTCTGATAGTGGAGACCCTTGTCTTGTTCCTAATCTTAGAGGGCATGCTTTCAGTGTTTTCCCACTCAGTATAATGTCGGCAGTGGCTTTTTTCAATTCAAGGTGAGGTTCTTCTGTACCTATTTTTATTTTTAGCAGCGTTTTTAATCATTTGTTGCATTCTGCTTACAAGTATATTGTTGAAGATTTTTCCATCTATATCGATTAAGGAAATCAGCAATTGTTTTCTTTTTATGCTGAGTTCTCATCTGGTTTTTGTATCAACGTAATGCTAGCTTCAAGGAATGAGTTTAGCAGTGTTCCTTCCATGTGAATTTTATGGAAGAGTTTGAGGGGTTCTGGTGTTAGTTCTTTTCCAAAGTTCTGGTACAAGTCATCAGTGTATCCATTGGGTCCAAGCCTTTACTTAGTTGGTAGAGTTTTTATTACTGCCGCTATTCATTGCTTGTTATTGCTTTGTTTAGGGGTATATTTTTTTCTCTTGGTTAGGATTGGCTAAATCATGTATATATAGGAAGTTAACTGTTCTTTAGATTCTCCAATGTAGTGGAATATAAGTTTTTGAAGTAGTTTCTTAGATACTCTAATATTTAGAGGCATTCGTTGTGATTAACCTTTTTCATTTCTAATTACATTGATAAAAAATCATTTGTTTCCTTTTTGGGTAAGTGTTATGGTTGATACATTGTGTCAACTTGGGGAGTTTAGAGATTTGGCTAAGTGACTCAGCAGAGAGCCAGGGTGCTTACTTTATATTTATCCTGAGCCTGTGCAAGAGGAAGGCATGTAGAAGGTAGAGGACCACTCCCACTCCCTCAGGGTGGGTAGGCTGCATAAAAAAAAAAAAAATTGAGAAAGGACACGCTGCTAGTTCAGAGGAGCTCCAGTCTTTGCCTTCAGCTTGGTCCTCTCCTGGCTTCTGGTGCAGACTGTTCGGCTTCTGCCTGGGACTCTTCAGCCTTCTGGTGTAGGCTCTCCAGCCTGCGTTGTCGATTCTTCAACATTCTGTCACAGACCCATCAGCCTCCTGATACTTACACAGACACTACAGTGAGCTCCAGGCCTGGGGCTGGGCTATTCAATCTCCAGCATGCAGACACCCTCCGCACGCTTCCTCATCCAACTCTGTGGCTGACCATTGTGAGCCAAACATAATTTCTTATACATTTGTATATCTTGTGTTATATCTGTTTCTCTAGTAAACCCTAAGTGATACAGTAAGTTAGGCTAAGGGCTTATCAATTTTGTTCATTCTTTTAAAGAAGCAACTCTGTAACTTGTTGATCCTTTCTATTGTTTTATCTTAATTTCCTTAATTTTTGCTCTGAACTTTATAATTTTTTTCCTTGTACAAGTTTTAGACTTGAATTGCTTTCTTTCTAGGACCTTGAGATGCATCATTAGGTTATTTATTTAGGATCACTCTGTTCTTTCACTGTGGGCATTCACTACTGTGAACTTCTTTCTTAAACTGTTTTCATTGCATACTACAGGTTTTTGTATGTTATGCTGCGATTGCCATTTGAATAGTAACAATATCTTCCCTGATTTCTTCTCCCCACTGATTATTCATGAGCATATAACTTAATATCCATGTATTTGCTTAGTTTCTGTAGTTTATATGCTGTTGATTTCTAATTTTATTCTGCTATTGTCTGATAGTATGCAGGGGATTATCTGGATTTTTGCATTTATTTAAGCATTCTTTTTTTTTTTTTTTTATTTTAAGGATAAAAGGAGGGAAACATTAACAGACATACAACATTTTACAACATATCACAAGCACAATACAGACAATACAGAGTTCCAAACAAAGTGGTAGGGAATTAACAATGGTGGTTGTATTACATATTGATATCTTCAAAGTGGCTTCTCATGAAAACAGATATAGACATGCAATACTGGTCAACCAAAGACTCATTGACAGTTTCTTTCAGCATAGAAACAGCAGGTAGAAGAACAACCATGGCCTAACATATGGTCTGTTTTGGAGAAAATTTTATCGGCTGCCAAGAAAAATGTTTATTCTGTGTTGTATGAAACATTCTGCAGATATCTTTTAACTATATTTATTAGATAGTGTTTCAACTCTGACACTTCTTTGTTGATTTTTTTTGGTCTGGTTGACGTATTTATGACAATGAGGTATTGAAGTCCCCTACTGTGATTGTATTGATGTTTACCTGAATTTTTATGTCCAGTAGTATTCTGTCCAGTATTAATACTGGCTGTGCCAGTATTAATTACATATATATTTACCATCATTATATGTTCCTGTTGAATTGTTTTCTTTACCAGTATAGAATGGTCTTTGTCTCTTCCAGCTGATTTTGGTTTGAAGTCCACTTTGAAAATCTTGCTTTCTTTTGGGATCCTGTTGCATGTTTCAGTTCATATGCATCTTTGAGGATGAGGTGTGGCTTTTGTAGGCAACATATAGTTTACTATATTTTGTTTTGTAATTGAATCTGCCAGTCTGTGTCTTTTAGTTGGGGAGCTAAGACCATTCAAAAAGAGATGTATGTTGAGAAATCTTCTGATACTTTGAAAGGTTGCCTTTGTAAATTACTTCATGCCTTTCTTGTTTTCAGTATTCTTTCTGTGCTGAATATTTGGAGTTGTTGTGGACAAGTTCTTTTTTGGCTGCTTGGGGTTCTATATGACTCCTTTATTTGGATGT